GGACAGGCTAGGCAGAGACAAGCACGAGAATTCCTGGAAGCATGGCATTCCACGAAGCATGCTATTAATAAACACATTGAACTCGACCCCATATACATTCCACCACGGAGGAAACCCGGAAGTGAGGCAATCCATCGCAACGGACTCCAGAGTTTAAAAACCAGGCGTGAAAACACACCGACGCTTCATCATAGCACTGAGGATGTTACCAAGCACGGTAACGAAACGTCTGCGGAACAACAAACCAGCTCAGTGGGCCAACCAACCTCAACACCCACAACCCGAGCTACAGAACTACTCCAAAACCTTACATTCATTTTATATATATATCGTCACCCAGTGTTTATGCTGTTCAATTAGTTTTCCAGACCCATGGGGCACTGGACAGTGAATCTAGAAACCAAATTTAACAAAAATTCAAAGCTGACTCCTGACATGTGGATTCAGAATGAAAAGAAGTCTTCCAACAGAAAAGTAGCAACAGCAAGAAGAAATAATGAGGCTACTAACTAACCTGTTACTTCCAGATGGTCAGGCTCTGAGGGTTCGCTCATTTCTGAATAATTCACAAAATCTGTAGTACAAAAAAATACAAAGAAAGCATTCACTCATTTGAAGGAGGGTCCACAATTTAAATCTTGGGATCATGATCACCCTGCCTTCACATTGACATTTAAATTAATGTAAATGAACTTTAAATTGAGATTGAGAAGCCCACATGGTGCAGTTAGATAGCACAGTTACATTGTGCCACATAGTGGTGAGATGCAGATCTGCACCCAGCATCTTTACATTTGATATTTTTCCACTCTTTCATTGCACCTGATTAAGACCAATTTATAACTTAGTTTTATTTTGAAAATTTAAAAAGAATATACAGGAGGTGGCATCAGAATACTTAACCATTTGTTTGTACAATTAATTGGGAAACTGAAAGCATAGTAGCAACCCTGGCAAGCCCAATAGGGGTCTGGATATGACCTCCACAAAACTATCAGGAAGGCCAAGAGACAGTACGGGACTAATTTAGCGGCCAGACCTACCAAACAGACTCCCACCGTCTATAGCAAGGCCTAAGTGACATTACGGGATACAGAATGAAACAGTGTAAGATAGTAAACAATGACACATCCCTCCCTGGCATGCTCAATGCTTTCTATGATAACAAGGTGTCGAGCTGGATGAACACAGCAGGCCAAGCAGCATCAGAGGAGCAGGAAAGCTGACGTTTCGGGTCTGGACCCTTCTTCAGAAATGAGGGAGGGGGAAGGGGATTCTGAAATAAATGGAGGGGGGGGGTGCGGGTGCGGATGGAAGGTGGATAAAGGAGCAGATAGGTGGAGAGGAAACAGACAGGTCAAGGAGGCGGGGATACAGCCAGTAAAAGGTGAGTGTAGGTGGGGAGTTAGGATGGGGGTTGGCCAGTTGAGGGTAGATGGACAGGTCAAGGAGGCGGGGATGAGGCAGCTACACTGGCCCCATCCCCCAACCTCTTCCTCCGTTACATCGATGACTATATCGGCGCCATCTCGTGCTCCCACAAGGAGCTCGAACAGTTCATCCACTTTACTAACACCTTCCCCCCCCAACCTTAAGTTCACCTGGACCATCTCTGATACCTCTCTCTCCTTCCTGGACCCCTCTGTTTCCATCTCTGGCAACCACCTGGAAACCGATATCCATTTCAAGCCTACCAACTCCCACAGCTACCTAGAATACACCTCCTCCCACCCACCTTCCTGCAAAAAGGCATCCCCTATTCCCAATTCCTTCACCTCCGCCACATCTGCTCCCAGGATGAGGCATTCCACTCCCGAACATCTCAGATGTCCTCGTTTTTCAAGGACTGCAACTTCCCATTCACAGTGGTCGAAAACACCCTCAACCGCATCTCTCACGTTTCCCACAACTCATCCTCACACCCCCTCCCTACAATAACAAAAACAGAATCCCCTTCGTCCTCACGTACCACCCCACCAACCTCTGGATTCAACGCATCATCCTCCGCTTCTTCCACCCACCTGCAATCTGATCCCACTACCAAGGACATTTTTCCCTCCCCACCCTTCTCTGCCTTCCATAAAGACCGTTCTCTCCGTGACTCCTTTGTCCGCTCCACACTCCCCTCCAGCCCCACCACCCCTGGCACTTTTCCCTGCAACTGCAGGGAGTGCTACACCTGCCCTTACACCTCCCCCCTCACCTCCATCCCAGGCCCCAAGAAAACCTTCCACATTAAACAGATGTTCACCTGCACATCTGCCAATGTGGCATATTGTATCCGCTGTTCCCGATGTGGCCTCCTCCACATCAGGGAAACCAAACAGTGGCTTGAAGACCGCTTTGTGGAATACCTAAGCTCGCTTCCTGACAAACAACTACAGCCCTCCAGTCGCGAAACACTTCAACTCCCCCTCCCATTCCTTGGACGACATGTCCATCCTGGGCCTCCTGCAGTGCCACAACGATGCCACTCGAAGGTTGCAGGAACAGCACCTCATATTTCGCTTGGGAACCCTGCAGCCCAATGGTCTCAACGTGGACTTCACAAGCTTCAAAACCTCCCCTCCCCCAACCTCATCCCAAAACCAGCCCAGCTCGTCCCCGCCTCCTTGACCTGTCCGTCTTTTGTCCCACCTCACTGACCAACTCCTCCCCCACCCCCTACCTACCGCCTCATCCCCGCCTCCTTGACCTGTCCATCTTCCCTTGACTGACCAACTCCCATCCTAACTCCCCACCTACACTCACCTTTACTGGGTCCATCCCCGTCTCCTCGACCTGTCCGTCTCCTCTCCACCTATCTGCTCCTTTATCCACCTTCCATCATCGCCTCCCCCTCTCTCCCTATTTATTTCAGAATCCCCTTCCCCTCCCCCATTTCTGAAGAAAGGTCCAGACCCGAAACGTCAGCTTTCCTGCTCCTCTGGTGCTGCTTGGCCTGCTGCGCTCATCCAACTCGACACCTCGTTATCTCAGATTCTCCAGCATCGGCAATTCCTACTATCTCTGAATCAATGCTTTCTATGCTCGGTTTGAGCAGAATACCATCGGCGTGGCAATACCTGCCCTGACCGCCCCAGACACACCTGTTCCCTCTGTCACTGCTTCAGAAGTCAGGTCAGTCTTCCTGAGAGTCAACCCGAGGAAAGCGATGGGCCCGGACGGTGTCGCCAGCCAAGCACTCAGATCCTCTGTGGACCAGCTGGTGTGGGTACTCACCGATATCTTCAACCTCTCCCTCCCACAGCCAAAGTCCCCACCTGCTTCAAGAAGACCACCATCATCCCAGTACCAAAGAAAGCACATGTACGGTGCCTTAATGACTACCGCCCATGGGCTCTGACTTCAATAATCGTGATTCGAGAGGCTGGTCTTGACCTACATTAAGTCCAGTCTCCCAGCCTGCCTCGATCCTGTACAATTTGCCTCCCGACATAACAGGTCCACACAGGATGCCATATCCCTAGCCCTGCACTCATCCCTGCAACATCTGGACAAAGACACCTATGTCAGACTCCTGCTTGTTGACTACAGCTCCGCCTTCAACACCATTATCCCCTCCAGACTGATCTCAAAACTGAGACACCTTGGTCTCAGCTCCGCCCTCTGCAACTGGATCCTCAGCTTTCTGACCCCTAGGCTGCAATCAGTGAGGATAGGTAACTGTACCTCCTCCACAGTAACACTCAACACTGGAGACCCCCAAGGATGTGTCCTCAGACCCCTACTGTACCTCCCTGTACACCCATGACTGTGTTGCCAAATTCCAAATGAATGCCACCTACAAGTTCACTGACATCACTGTAGTGGGACTGATATCTAACAATGAGTCAAAATAGAGAAGGGAGGTAGAAGGCTTGGTGATATGGTGCAATGAAAATAATCTGTCTTTCAACATCGGCAAAACTAAAGAACTGAGCGACTTCAGAAAGAAGGGAGGTGAACACGCTCTCATCTACTTCAATGGAAGTGAGGTTGACAGCGTGAAGAGCATCAAGTTCCTCGGAGTAACGATAATCGACAACCTGTCCTAGACTTGCCACGTAAATACGAAGGTCATGAAGGCACAACAACACCTCTTCTTACTCAGGCAGCTCAGGAAATTTGGCATGTCTTGAAAGTCCCTCACCAACTTCTACTGATGCACCACTGAAAGCGTACTGTCCAGGTGCATAACGGCCTGGTATGGTAACTGCTCGGCTCAGGACCGTAAGAAACTACAGAAGGTGGAATGCACAGCCCAGACCACCACGGAAGTCAAACTTCCATCCATGGACCCCATTTACACGGCTCACTGCCGCAGAAAGGCGTCCAACATCATCAAAGACCCATCGCACCCTGTTAATGATCTCCTACAACCTCTTCCGTCAGGCAGAAGGTACAGAAGCCAGAACACATGTACAAGCAGGTTCAGGAACAGCTTCTTTCCAGCCATTAGACTGTTGAATGGACTCGTGCCTCAAAGAATGTAACCTGCAATATAATCTGTACGCCTCCAAGTCTTTTTCATCTGTACATCCTTTGCTTGCTGTGATCTGCCTGTACTGCTCGTAAACAAAGCTTTTCACTGAATTTATTGTCACTTGTTCCAAAATACACAATCAAAATCAATCAAATTTGTAAAATTTAATCAGAAGAATATGATGGTTTAATAGAAAGCATTACGAACTTTTAAAACAAAAACTGACGCACTCGTCGTCAACAATTGAAAATCATCCTAATCCAAGGCACTGTTCATCTGAACAATACTACCTTAATTGTTCATTTTTATTATTCTTATTCACTTGTGGGACATGGCAGTCACTGGTTGGGCTAGCATTTATTGCCCATTGCTAGTTGCCGTCAGGGTGGTGGGGGTAAGCTACCTTCTACAGTCCACGTGCTGTGGGCTGACCCACAATGCCCTTAGGGAGGGAATTCCAGAATTTAGACTCAGTGACACTATCGCAGAATGGGGAGTGGCTTGGAGAGAAGCTTGCAGGTGGGGGAGTCCCATGAATCTGCGGCCCTTGTCCTTCTAGATTGCAGAGGTGGTGGGCTTGGAAGGTGCTAAGGATCTTTGGTGAATTTCTGCAGTGCCTCTTGTAGTTCGTACACACTGCTACTACTGAGCATCAGCAGCGGAAGGAGTGGATGCTTGTGGATGTAGTGCTAATCAAGTGGGCTGCTTTATCCTGGATGATGCCAAGCTTCTTGAGTGTTGTTGGGCTGCACTCATGCAGACAAGTGGGGAGTATTCCATCACACTCCTGACTTGTGCCTTGTAGGTACTGGACAGGCTTTGGGGAGTCAGGAAAGGAGTTATTCGCTGCAATATTCCTAGCCTCTGACCTGCTCTTTTTAGAATCATTCTGCCCATCGAGTCCACAGAGTCCAAACAGCATTCCAACCAGGCCCACCTCCCTACCCCCATCCCTGTTACCCTGCATTTCCCAGGGCTAATCCATCTAGCCTACACATTTCTGGACACAATGAGCCATTTAGCATGGCCAATTCACCTAACCTGCACATCTTTGGACTGTGGGAGGAAACCCACACAGACACGGGAAGAACGTACAGACTCCACAGTTACCCGAGGGTGGAATTGAACCCGGACCCCTGGCACTGTGAGGCTACTGCTAACCACTGAGCCACTGTGCTCTTGTAGCCAGTGTATGGAAGTCCAGTTCAGTTTCTAGTAAATAGTAACCTCCCCAGATACTGATAATGGAGTGGTTCAGTTGTGGTAATGCCACTGAATGTTAAAGGGATGTGGCTGAATTTTCTCTTATTAGAGATAGTCATTGCCTAACATTTATGTGGCATGAATGTTTCTTGCCACATTTAAGCCTAAGCCTAGATTCTGTCCAGGTCTTGGTGCATTTCGGCACGGACTGCTTCAGTATCTGAGTCATGACAACTGGTGACCATTGTACAATCATTGGTGAAGATCCCCACTTTTGACTTTATGCTGGAGGAAGGTCAAATGGCACAAATGCAATGATCATTTGGCTGGCTTCCAGTCTCCTTGCTTCTCTTTCTCAGTTAGAAGGAAATGTGTAGGTGAACTGAACTGTTGCAATGCAAGACACTCTACAGATACAATCAATTTCACTTTACCCTCAAGTAACAAATCAGACATTCTTGATCAGCTAGCTATTCTTGCTGGTTGGTATATATCTTCCTGTAATTCTCTTAAAAAAGATCAATTGCTCCAATATACATAGCTAAGCAATGCTTTGAATGGTTAAGGTACAAATAAAACCTGAATTTATTTCTTGCGACTAGATTACCTCAATTACCTCTCACTTTTCTCTTTGGGTAGCTGAAATTAAAATAAAATTATATAGTTGCTGGTTGGCAAGCAAGCAAACATAATCAAGCACCATAGATAGCAAAAAGTAGGCACCATTAAACAAGCTTGCACTACACTAATATAAAATGAAGATTTCCACAAAAGCCACACAGAATTCATTATTGATTTTTAAGTTTGAAATGGAAACTAATACCTTCTTCTGCTGTATGTGCTTCTGTGCCCTCCATAGTATCACCTTCTGTAAGTAAATGAGGAGCTACATTTAGAACATCTTGACTAGCTTTTGAAAATTAACAGAAAAATTCAACATCTAGATTTCAAATTACTCAGTGCATCATTTTAGCACGAGATTAAGCTCCCTCTCCTAAAAGAAAATCAACCATGTATAATTTTTTGTAGTTTTAATTTTTATTTGGCCTTATGACCCAAGGATCAGGGCAAGATTTGCAAAGTAATCATACATGCTAAGTGATTAAAGCCCTCTTTTCCTGGAAGCAATGATTCTAATTACTACAGATGAGATTTATGTTTGCTCACAAAATTTCAAAACAAAAGTAATCCAAAAAGATGTACAGTGACAAAAATACAGTTAAAAACCACAACTTTCCTTTATTTTGGACCATGACTAAAATAAGAAAAGGGTTGCTTTCCAATGACAGTGGAAGGTTGCTGCACTTTTAAAAATAAGTTACTGGAACTCATTGACAGTTATGCTTATACTGTGTTTTTGTTATCAATTCATGGGATGAGGTCATCACTGAGACTGGGCCAACATTTACTGCCCAACTAATTGCCGAGAGTTAACCACATTGCTGTGGGTCTGCAGTTACATGTAGGCCAGACCAGGTAAGGATAAGTTTCCTTCCCTAAAGGGCATTAGTGAATCAGATGGGTTTCTTTCCCCCCTGACAATTGACAATGGATTCATGCTCATCATTAGGCTCTTTAATTCTAGATTTCAACTGAATTCAAATTCCACCACCTGCTGTGGTGGGATTTGAACTGTAGTCCACCAAAACATTACCCGAATTTCTGGATTAACAACCCAGTGATAACATCACTAGGCCTCCCCTTCATTGTTGCTTTGTTCACAATGGGGGAAGAAACCTAAGTCACTATGGCACTAGGGGAGTGTGTACAGAGTGAGTTTCATATAACAACAGATTGTTGATTGGTTTGTGCAATCGGGACTAGTTGCAGGTGTCAGAAGCTACCAGCATGACAACTGATTGGCTCCTGGGCAAGTGATTAGCTCGTGTGTTTACAATGCTAGTCGGGAAGCCTCTTGACCTCAAGGCAGACTATGCACCTCTCTCTGTAGTGAAGTAACCAATACTGGGAAGATGTTCTCTCCCATCAGTTGCTGTAAACTGCTGCCTCTCACCAGTGACTGAAAAACCGTATAATGAGTATGAATCTATGAGTATGCCAACTGTCCAGTATCGCCAAAGAACTGAAAGAATGTGGAAACGAGGAAAGCTGCACACAGACATTCTTGAGAGACAAAAAGGCCAGCTTATCAAATCCTAAGGACTTGCTATTGAGCTGTGGTCAGCCAGTACTTTTTCTCTTCACTAATAACATTCATGTTTATTTGCTTGACTGTACATGCGCACAGAGAAGTAAGAAGTTTAAAGGTTTGGATAAGTACATGAATAGGAAAGGTTTAAAGGGACATGGGGGTTGGGAGCAGGTGGGTGGGACTAGTTTAGTTTGAGACGACATTTGGCATGGACTGATTGGACCAAAGTGTCTGTTTCCATGCTGTATGACTCTATAAAGGGGTTTAGAGTTCATCTAGTGCAGTTATAATGCTGGCAATCAATAGCTTTGTCGCCTGTGGTTAGAATTGTTTTCTTTGTAATAAAGAGTAGTCTTTTTTTCAAGTATAGAAACCATTTTAAACAGATGATGTTAAATGTCAAATTTTTCTGTTTGCCTGAGTTCACGAGACAGGGAAAATTAAGGGGTTTATTTTGATTAAATTTTTCACTTTTTAATGACACAGGAGTAGTCAGGTTTAACAGACAGTGCACTGACCCAAGTGGACCATGGCAATACGCAGTTTTATTATAACCATTGTTATCTAAGCATCAGTGTTCCGTTCCTGGTCTAACCAACAGTAATTGCAATTATAGCATTTCATCACATCGCTTGGAGTAGACAATAATGTGATCACAGGAACAAATCTGCGATTCTAACATATATATCTACCTGCATTTAATGCTTATACAATTATATCTGTATGCAAGCAAGGAGGAAACAGTGATATTGGAATCTCCAGGCATAAATAACTGTATTATTATTAACCAAACTAATGTTTGAAAATTCTGTGTACTTTAACTAAGATCTAGGATTGTTGAAAATCCTAATGACAAGAACCACAGGTTGTGAGGGTCTTTAAATTTTTGGGATCAGGATCAGATTTCTCTAATTGTGATCTACTAGTACAGATTTCTGCTGTTAACAGAAGTTAAAAACAGACAAAATAAATATTTATAATTTTTTTGAACAGCTGATAGATTCCCTGGGAACGTCAATATTTGGGGATCTCCATTGAAAAGAGTTTCAAAACCAAGGTATCACAGCAATGTTTCACTATTATAAATTAATGAGATCTCAAAACAACTTTTTTTAAAAATTTGATTAGAAGCTACAATTTTCACCTCAGATGTAGGTTTGACAACAGTCCAAATAAAATCAAGTCTCCCTTTTCTGGTTAGTACCAACAATAGAAAGGACACTACCTCAATTCACCTGATGAAGGAACAGTGCTCCAAAAGCTTGATTTCAAATAAATCTGTTGGACTATGACCTGGTGTCTGACTTTGTCCACCCCAGTCCAACACCGGCACCTTCACATCATCAATTCAGTTTGGTAGGGAGTGGGTCCACAGCAAAAATTGTCCTAAGTTAGTGCCAATTATCAACCTCACCAAGGCACGCCACAAGGATAAATAGGATGGGTTTAGGAAAGGTTACGCTTTTGGATACAACAAGTCCTCAGAATTTAGAGATGTGGGAAGTTACAGCGGAGACTGAAACAAACCAGGTGCATTAGAGCTCTTTTGTAGCAGAGTCAGAGTTATACAGCACGGGAGTAGACCCTTGGATCCAACTCATTTGCACTGACCTGACATCCCAATCTTAGTCCCATTTGCCAGCATTTGGCCATATCCCTCTAAACCCTTCATATTCATATACCCATTCAAATGCCTTTTAAATGTTGTAATTGTATCCACTGCCTCTAGCAGCTTGTTCCATACATGCACCACCTTCTGCATGAAAAAGTTGCCCCTCAGGTCCTTTTTAAATCTTTCCCCTCTCACCTTAAATCTACGCCCTCCAGTTTTGGACTCCCCCACCGTAGGGGAAAAAAGCCTTGGCTGTTTGCCGTATCCACGCCCTTCATGATTTTATAAATATCTATGCCTCTCTGAATGCTTTGTTTTTGGCCTAGTTGAACTCAGTACCAAACAACAAAGAACATAATCAGTGATAACAAAACAGAGCTTTCATCCAATTCAGAGTTGGTTATTGTATAAGCACACTAACTGTAGAGAAGCACACTCTCAGCAAAATGGCTTATTTGCTCCATTCCCATCATAGGCAACACAGAAAAGATGTGGGTAAGAGGCCAACAACAAAATACTTCCAATATTCAAATGGACCACATGAATGCAATATTCACGTAAGTTTTACATTGGGCTCTATCTTCCAGGTTTTCAATGTGCTGTCATAGTCATTAGTTGTAGTTTGCCTCAAATCTTACCACAAATTTCAGGGCTACAATTTTTAATCTGTCTTCTTCAGCATTAAATAAAAGTAAAATGTAAACCTAATACCAACTTTGAATTCTAAATCAATCATGAAAACATGATGCCAAAATAGAAATCTAACAATAGCAAACTAAATACTTCAAAGTTAACTACAACCCAAGAGTAGCCCTGACTATTGATCTCTGATATAAAAACAAGTAGCTATAATGACTCTACAATTTACGTTGTAGGTATACCCAACATTCACTCATTTCAACTGGAGAATAAGAAACTAAATCGAAAAGCTAAGGGACTAATACTATGCTTGAAAGTACAAAACCAGTACTACATTTGTGGGAGTACCTGAAGGAGTGTCCTTTCTACTTGAGAAATTTTGAATGCCTGCCTCTTCACTGCCTTCTAGTTTCTCCCGTTTCACATTTTATTTTAAAGACTTTCTTCTTTCTCTTTCCTGTTACTATGCAAGAGATTATACTGACTACCTACTCTAGTTTGGAGGTTCCAGTTCTCAAAGTGGGCAAGAATTTTCAAAACAGCTCAGCCTTTTCAATTAGTAACCAAATTGTTGTAGTGTGTGGTACTGAGAAGTCTAATCCTCACTGATTTTTGTCAGTTGGTGCTCATTCTGTGCCTAAATTCCTCACCACCACATTGATAGTTGGCATGCAAGTATAATTATCTAATCCATGCAGTTTTTCTTTATTCCTTCACTGGATATGGTGTCACTGGCCAGGCCAGCGTTTATTATCCATTCCCTTGAAATAAACATCTGCAATACTCAGCTCGTTAACTTCTACAGTTTCTTCAGATGTTTGAAGAGAACTCTTTGGTTCAAAAGTGCTATTACGTAGAAAAAGATAAGCTGGAAATAGTTGAGAAACTGAATTAAGTGCAGTTAAAACTGGTTTTGCTGTTGGAAAAAAATCACATTGAATCTGTTAAGAGTCGTTGACATCTTAGTGGAGGTTGACATTGGAAATTTTCAATTTTCTGCTGGCTAACAAAACTGGCATGTGCTTATAAATGCCTATTTTAAAGTCTGTATATCCCCAGGGTAGAAATTTTCAATATAAAGTGAAGATTAAACAGCTAAATAGGGAACATCTAGAGAAATTAGTTTTAAATTTATATGAAATATTGAACTAGCAGGACAGCGGGGACAAGTAGCACAGGGCAATTTAAAGATTATTATGACATTGATTGTGCATATATGTTCATTTATGTTATATATGTGTATATTATAGATATGAAGTGGTTAGCAGACAATTTCAGTCATATGGAAAAGTTTTTTCAGTTACATTACAAGGCAGAATCTAATTAAAGATATATTTAGCCTGAGAACAGGTTAATGTGTGATATTGATATAGCTGACGAGTTAAACAAGTAGCTTGCATCAATCCTTGCTTCTGAAGGCAACGACAGCTGCAGTACAGCAAAGTAAGCATGCAATTAAAATGGT